AAGGCTCTGAGGAGGGCTCTGTGTCGGAGGCAGAGAGGGGGCCAGGGCCGTATGCCAGTGATCAGCTGCCTTCAGAGTCAGACATCAGTGAGGCAGAAGAACAGCTGGAGCCTGTTCCCAGTGTGAGTTGCCAGACGAAGGGAACAGATAAAGAACAGGGGTTGACTTGGGAATAAGGCCACAGGTGGATGGTGAATGGCCCCTCCCAGAGGAGATAAAAGAGGAGCGAAAGGGGAGTGGAGTTTGCAGGAGGCCATTAGCTCACTTCATTGGTTCCTGACTCTATGAGACTCCTGGCCAGGTTCTGCAGAGATCGGCCTGGCAGCTCTCCAAGCCAAATAAGGTCTGTGACCGTAAATCCTCCCTTGAAAGACTTTGCTGGATGCGAATAAGCAGAATCCACAGTCAGTTAATAAAAGGGTTTTTTTGTCGGGACAAGGAGTTTGCTTCAGGCTTTCGGGAAGAAGCTTCGGTCAGAATAATTCTGTCTGGTTTTTTTTAATTTATGCGTGAATCTTTATTCCCTATCTGCAGTTCTCAAATCCTTCCGCTGGCCACCCACCACCGAGATTTCAAACCCTTGAAGTTCAACCTTGCAATTTCATTTTTTTTTTAAAGGATATTAATTAGGCCAAGCACCCCCTGAGTCTTACTCCTCTGTTTTATTTATTTTATGCAACCCCCCCAAAGCCCCCCAAAGGATAGATCTACTTTGTCTTCTCTGATGGGCATTTTCTCACATTGGCCTTTAAAAGCTAAATTCTTCCTTTTTAAAAAAAAAATGTGTTTAAAGGCAGGAACATTCGCTGCCAATATCAGCCCGAAGACGATCTCCCCTGCTTTAGGCCTTGTGCAAAAATGTTAAAGGGGATCAATACATTATAGATTTGTGTGTGTGTGTGTTTGTGTGTGTGTTTGGAGGGCCAGATCCTCCTCCTCACGCCTGATTTAAGCTGAAGGATTTAAAGAGAACTGTTTGGGGAGGAACTGCTGGCAAATCTCACAATTCCATACACCCCCTTTTTTCCCCCCCACTTCAATTTCCCCATTTTTTGGGGAGGGTGGTGTGCATGTGCGTGTGTGTGTTTGTGAGGCTTTGCAAAGAGAGACAACTGAAGGAGAAGCGGGATGCAGGAGTTAAACCGCCTAATGCAGCTCTGCGGCGTATAAATTAACCGGGAGTCCCTGCTGATTTCCCCCAATAATTGGGTCTGCGTCTTGTCCCATCAGGCCTGGCCTGTTCCTCTCACTGGGGAACTAATTGATCATCCTGAGTTGGGGCTCAGAAAATGCCCAGCCAATTAAGAACTTGGCATGGCGACCGCTGGGCAGCCTGCATCCTTTCCCCTGCGGGCCTCGCTCTTAACTTCCCTCCCATAATTCTTCCATTTTCCTCCTCTGTTTCCAGAGCGCTTTTTGACAGGGTTGGGAAAAGGGTCTTGTAGGTCATCTAGTCCAACCCCACCCCGCCAGCCGAGCAGGAGACCCTACCACCATTTCAGACAGATGGCAATCTAGTCTTCTTTTATTTCTTCTTTTCTTCCCCCCCCCCCCACTTCCCGGCACTTTTTCTGGGGTGGCCCTCGGGAAACAATTTGTTCGTTAGATTCGTTTCAAGAGTGTGGAGATCTGTCCGTGAATCTCTGAGACTCTGTGCCCGGTCTTTCCTTGCACAGAAACCTCATTTGGGAAAAGATTTACAGCTTGGCAGCTTTCCAAGAGAGATAAGGTCGGTGGTCATAAATACTCCTTTGAAAGACTGTTTGCTGAATGTGAAGGAGAGGAATTCACCTTCGTTTAATAAAAGGGGTTTTGTTGGGGACCAGGACTCTGCCTCGTGGTTTTTGGGGAAGCCTAGGTCAAAACACCGCTCTCCCTTCCTCTGTCCATCCTTCCCTCTATTTGCCTGTCCCTCTGTCTGTCTGTCGGTCCACCCATCCCTCCATTCCATCCATTTTTCCATCTTACCTGTTCACCCACCCACTTACAGACCTGACCATCCCATCAAATACACAATCAAAGGAGAGATCAAAAGCACAGTTCGCCCTTCCCTCCCACCCAGGCCTCGCAGCTTAACATCCCCCCCCCCCAATTGTAGCTTGCAGCCCTCCAGGAGGCTAAAAGATTAGAGACCCCCTTGGATCTCTTAGGCGGGAGACTACCGTATTTTTCGGAGTATAAGACGCAGCAAGGTTTTGAAGAGGAAAATTTTAAAAAAATATTTTTTGCACTCTGCAAGCCTCCCAAAAACGCCCCCCCTTTCCCCCCCCAAAAGGGGCATGAATAGCCCTTAGGAGGCTTATAGAGTGCTCCTGGGGGGGGGCAAAAATGAGCAAAAAAACCCCACCCTGTTTTTTGCGAAAATGGGCCCATTTTTTGTCAAAAAAGGGCATGGATAGCCTTTATGAAGCTTATAGAGTGCAGCTGGGGGCTGGGTGGGGGCAAAAGCGGGTTGTTTTTTGCTCATTTCTTTCCTCCCCAGTCCGCAGGATCACTCTGAAAGCCTCCTAAAGCCTTTGCAACGTCATTTTGGTGACGGGGGGTTTCGGGAGGCAAAAAATGCTGTATTCAGTGTATAAGAAGCACCCAGATTTTCAGCCTCTTTTTTGAGGGGAAAAAGGTGCGTCTTATACTCCAAAAAATACGGTATTTCCATACGAATCTCCACGGGCAAAAAAACAACAACAAAGAAACAATTGCAAGATTTTTTTCCAANCAGACAAAGGGCTATCCAACCTCTTCTTAAAGACTTCCAGTGTTGGAGCATTCACAACTTCTGGAGGCAAGTTGTTCCACTGATTAATTGTTCTCACTGTAAGGAAATTCCTCCTTAGTTCTAAGTTGCTTCTCTCCTGGATTAGTATATAGAATCACAGAGCTGGAAGGGACCTTGAAGGCCTTCTAGTCCAACCCTCTGCTTAGGCAGGAAACTCTACACCACTTCAGACAAATGGCTATCCAACATCTTCTTAAAGACTTCCAGTGTTGGGGCATTCGCAACTTCTGGAGGCAAATTCTGTTCCAGTGATTAATTGTCCTCACTGTCAGGAAATTTCTCCTTAGTTCTAGGTTGCTTCTCTCCTTGATTATTTTCTCTCTCCCCCCCCCCCCAAAAAAAAAATTATGTAAACAGAACACATTTTAACCCAATCACATCTTACTAAACTCTCAAGGGTGGATCAAGGTCTGTTTCATTTCCTAGCAAACTTTACCAAACCCCAAAATGTATACAGAGGCACGTCCTCTCCTCGTTTTAGTTTTGAATTACTGGGCACGGGTTTAATCCAGAAAGTGGAGAGGACACCACCCCCCTTTGAAGTCTGCAGCATCTGTCCTGTCCCTTTGCTGCTGAAATTTTGACCCACCTGTTTTTTCCCCCCTGTTCTTTTAACAAATACATTGAGAAGTATTCCCCTTCCTGTGTCTTCCTTCCCTCTCTCATGAGATTCTTCTAGGTTTGGGGAGAGAGGGAGGGGGCTGAAAGGTACCCATCCCTTTAAAAAAGGGGGGGGGAAATCCTCGCGATGGCGTGGCCGCAGCATCTGCAACCCTCATCTCAAAGCGATAATGGTTCAGTATGAGGAAAGATGCATTTTATTCTTCAGGAATTGAGCCTAGCTGTTGTAGTCCACCGGTGTAGGACAGTGAGGAGGTTGGGAAGGAACATGGGCCAGTCCTGGAGCCTGGGGAAGGCTCGGACGAGGGCTCTGTGTCAGAGAGGGGGCCAGGGCCATCTGGGAGTTATGTGCTGCCTCCGGAGCCTCCAGAGTCAGACATCAACGAGGCAGAAGAACAGCAGGAGCCTGTTCCCAGTGCGCGCAGGTACAGAGCTGCCAGAAGGCAAGAACAGTTAAGACAGAAGGAACAACTCGGGAGTAAGGCTTGGAGATGATTGGCCCCTCCCATAAGACATAAAGGAAGAGCAAAGGCATGTGTTACAGGAAGCAACTTTGTTCGTCCTGGTCGGTTTAAATTCTGAAGCTCCGTTTTGACTCTGTGCTCCATGTGGCCTTGCAAAGCTAATT